CAACGTCCAAAGTGCACACAGAACATTCTCCAGTATAGATTATATGCTGGATCATTAAACAAACCTCAGTGAATATAGAAGGATAGAATAATACAAAGTAAGTTCTCTGTTCACAACAGAAGAAATTCAGGAAACTCACATACATGTGGAAAGTAAACAACACACTCCCTTAAATCATCAAGGGGTCAAATAAGAAATCACAAGGGAAATTAGAAAATACTCCGAGTTAGATGTAAATGAAAACATAAGATACCAGAACAGATGGGATGCAGCTACAGCATTACTTACAGGGAAATTTATAGCTGTAAAAACCTGTATTAAAAAGAAAAAATATCCCAAATAAACTAACCTTTCACCTTATGACACTGGAAAGAGAAGAGCAAACTAAACCTTAAGTATGCAAAAGGAAGGAAATAATGAGTATAAGAGTGGGAATTAATAGAAAACAGAAAAATACAGTCAACAAAACCAAACACTGGCTTTTTGAAAAGGTCAACAACACTGATAAAGCTTTAGCTAGACCACCTATGAAAAAAGGAGACTCAGATTTCTAAAATCTAGGATGAAAGAGGGGACACTACAACTGGGCTCACAGAAATAAAAAGAACTGTAGAGGAACCCTTTGAACGTCAGTATGCCAACAAATTAGATAACCTAAATGAACTGGACAAACTCCTAGAAAAACACAAATCACCAAAACTGACCCAAAAATAAATAGAAAATCAGAATAAATATCTAACAATACAAAAATTAAATTAGTAATTTAAAAACTGTACACAAAGAAAAACCAAAACCCAGATGGCTTCTTTGTCAAATTTCTACCATACATCCAAAGGAAAAATGAATTCCAATCCTTCATAAACTCTCTCAAAAAAACAGAAGAGGAAGGGAATACTTCCCAACTCTTTCTATAAGGCCAATATTACCCAGATATCAACACAAGACAAAGGTATCACAAGAAAAATACAGATATCACTTAGGAATATAGAAAAAAATCCTCAACAAAATATAAGCAAACCCAAACCAGCAACATAGAGAAAAAAATTATACACCATGAACAAGTGGGATTTATCCCAGGAATGCAAAGTTGATTCAATATCAAAAAATCAATTTAAAAAGCAGGATTTTTTTTTTTTGACCAAAACCCAATTTCCTTTCATGATAAGAACACTCAATAAACTAGGAATAAAATGGCATTTCCTCAATCCGAAAAAGGGCATCTACAGAAAACTCACAGCTAATATACTTAATGGTGAAAGACTGGATGGATATTTTTTCCCTAAGATCAGGAAAAGGACAAGGATGTGCACTCTCACCCCCCCCCCCGTTGAATTGTCTTTATTAACAAAGGGAATATCCAAGGCCACTACATTAAGTAGGGGTGGGGTCAGGGCTTTTTTTTTCCCCCTCACTTTCACCATGCCCATTCAACATTATACTAGAGGTCCTAGCAGAATAATTCAGCAAGAAAAAGAAATAAAAGAGATCCAGATTGGAAAAGAAGAAGTAAAAAGTATCTTTATTTGCAGATGACATGATCTCCTATATAGAAAATCCCACAGAATCCATGAATAAACTTAAAGATTTTTATTTATTTATTTGTCAGAGAGAGAGAGAGAGAGCACAAGCAGGGGGAACAGCAGAGGGAGAGGGAGAAGCAGGCTCCTCACTGAGCAAGGAGCCCGATGCAGGACTCGACCCCAGGACCCTGGGATCATGACCTGAGCCCAAGGCAGACCCTTAACGACTGAGCCACCCAGGCGCCCCGAATAAACTGTTTTAACTAATAAATGACTTCAAAGGGGTTGTGGAATACAAGATTGATATAAAAAAAAAATCAGTTGTTTTTCTCTACACTTGCAACAAACAAACTGAAAATGAAATTAAAAAAAAATCCATTTACAAATGCATCAAAAGAATAAAATACTTAGGAATAATTGCAAAACTTATACTCTGAAATCTACAAAACACTGTTGAATTAGTGGTAAGTACATATAAAATTATGTACTTAGAAAATGAAAAGATAATTTTATATCCAAAATAAGCAATTATGCAGAAAACAAAACCAATCCTACATATACTACATAACTCACCCATAAATAGCTTTTGTATAGTTATAATAAAATATGACAATAACTTTTATGAAAGTAAAACTTTAATAAAAATAAATTTCAATAAATGGAAAAATATGCCATATTTGTGAATAGGAAGATTCACTGAACATTCTCCCCAGTTGATGCCAATTGACTTTTTTTCTTGTTTTCATTAAATTATTCAAAGGATCACATGAAAGAATAAATGGGTGGCATTTACTATGAAAATTCTGAAAACAGGATTCCTTGACAAATATTAAAAGCTAATAAAATTACAATAACTAAAACACAGTATCACATTGATTTTAACCACTGGATCAAAATGAAATATTCAGAAATAAATCAAAGTACCTTAACATATGATAAAGATAGTGATTTAAATCTAAAAAAAAAGTTTTCCAATAAACTGTGAGATAGTCCCAAGGCAATCATCATGATCCCAACATCCCATCAAGATAAATTCCAGAAGGTTTAAAACATCAGAAAAAATAAAACATAAAATAAGTTAGATCTTTCTAAGAAGAAAAGCAAAGGAGAAACCATAAAGAAAGAAATAGTGCATTTGAAGACATCTACTCTTATTTAGCAAATATTCTTGAACACTTACTATATGCTAGGAATCAACTAGAGCTGGATGTACTGTGAGAAAAAGAGACATGGCCCCCAGCATCAAGGAGAGACAGTCTAGGAAAGATAAAATAACTACAAATTCACCCAAAAAAAGTGAGCCATTCTCAACCTCTCTCTTTATCTCACACCCCACGTCCAGCCAGGACACTGAGCACTACTTTCACAATTTATCCAGGAGCCAACCACTTCTTGCCACCTCCACTGCTGCCATCTTTATGCCTCCCCTGGATTCCTGGTCGGTCTCCCCACTTCTATTCCCACCCTTCCAACTCTCTCCCCCATGCAGCAATGGGAGGGATCCTTTTATAATTTAAGCCACATCATGTTACTCCTTGGCCATAAATCCTATGCTTCACTCAAGTAAGAGCTAAAATCCTTACAACAGCCTTTCAAAGCTCTATCCTGTCATCTCCTCCATCTTCCCCATACTTCCACTGCCCTTGACTAGTCACCCTGGCTTCCCTGCCACTCCTTGAATGAGCCAGGCATATTTCTGTCTTTTAAAGGCCTTTACTCCGGCTGTCCCTCTGCCAAAAAGTTCCTTCGCCCGTATATTCACCTGGCTAACTCAACTCCTTCAAGTGTTGGCTCGAATGAACTTGGCCACTCTACCTAAAATTACAGCTCTCCACCCTCCCCGCCCCCACTCCTGGTACTCCTGATCTCTCCTACTCTGTGCTCCACTTTTTCTTCCTTCCAAAGCTCTCAACACTTCTAGTATACTATACAATTCACTTATCATGTTTATTATTTACTGTTTATGTACCCGACTACATGAGGAGAGAGATCTTTGTTATGTTAACTGATATGTCCCAAGACTCTGGTATACAACGGGAGCTCAATAAATGCATTTGAAGGAATGAATCAATTCATCAGATAAGCAAAGATTTATAAGCCTGATAACGCCTAGTAGTTGTACACAGCTGGTGGAAAAATGAACTGAATAAGTGTTCTAGAGGGTAATCCGTCAATGTATATTTAAGTATCTTTTTTTAAAAAGATTTTGAGACAGCATGTGAGACAGAGAGAGTGCACAAGCAGGGGGAGGGGCACAGGGAGACAGAGAGAAGCAGACTCCCCACTGAGCAGGGAGCCCGATGTGGGGCTCGATCCCAAGATCCCGGGACCATGATCTGAGCCGAAGGCAGACACCTAACACTTAACTGACTGAAACACCCAGGCACCCTTATATTTAAGTATCTTATTATAGCAAATATTTTCTTAAAGTCTTTAAAATGTTAAGCCTCTTCATTAAGTAATTCCACTTCTAAGTACATAGCCTTAAAAAAAGAATCAGTGATGGACACATATTTATCTATAAAAATGGGATTTCATGAAGCCATTACAAATTAATCACATCTATATTTACTATAGTAAGTGATTTACTATAATAACACATTTTTTTTAGATTTATTTATTTATTCCAGAGAGAGAGAGGGAGGGAGAGAAATCCTCAAGCAGACTCCCCTCTGAGCACAAAGCCTGAAATGGGGCTCAAGTCCAAAACCCTGAGATCATGACCTGACCAAAACCAAGAGCTGGATGTTTAACCGACTGAGTCACCCAGGTGCCCCTATAGTAAAGCAATTAAACAAAAACTCAGGGTGTGTGTGTGTGTGTGTGTGTGTATTAAACCAAGCCTTCTTAACTACAGAGTTAAATACAATTCCTCCTCAGGGCACCTGGGTGGCGCAGTTCGTTAAATGTCCGACTCTTGGTTTCGGCTCAGGTCGTGATCTCAGGGTTGTGAGACTGAGCCCCGAGTTGGTCTCCACGCTCACCGTGGAGTCTGCTTGAGGATTTCTCTCTCTCTCCCTCTCCCTCTGCCCCTCCTGCTTGTAAGTTCTCTCTGTCTTTCAACGAAATAAATAAATCTTTAAAAAAAATACAATTTCTCCTCAAAGTACAACAGGTCTCTATTCAAATGCCTATCTCTGCAAGACTTACATACATTTAGTATCCTTAATCTGTTCTACAATTTTTTAATATTTATTTATTTGACAGAGAGAGAGATAGTTAGAGCAGGAACACAAGCAGGGGGAGTGGGAGAGGGAGAAGCAGGCTTCCCGCAGAGTAGGGAGCCTGATGTGGGGCTCGATCCCAGGACCCTGGGGTCATGACCTGAGCCGAAGGCAGACGCTCAACGACTGAGCCACCCAGGCGTCCCTGTTCTACAATTTAAAACCTAAACAGAACAATGGCCAATCTGTATTCAGCTATTACTGAACTTTCAGAAAATTGTCAGCTTGTTAAAAGTAAATCCCCCCGTCCACTCACATGACATCCAGTACTGAATCATTCCGAATGACCTTATGCGAGACATCAGCTAGGAGAAAAAGACCTCCATCTGTCCTTCGGATGCTAGCTGCATAGCCTGGCCAGATCTGCAACCTGAAGAGACAAGTGAGCTTTACCTCAGGGTTCTAAAAAAAACCACAGATACTTCCATGCCCCCATTTGAAACAGATGAGCAAATACCAACCCCCTCCCCAGTAACAGTGAGAAAGCACCATGAAACAAAGTAAATCAACATCATTGTGAACTTACTAAGAAACTAAACTATGAAACAGATTTAACTGATAAATTATATTCACAATCATAAAATACTGTTGAGATTTCTGTACTACATATGGTAATCACAATGAAAAATTTCTTTCCAGAACATTCGAAAGTGAGGAAAAGAAGAACACCACTGACCTGTGTTGCTGTAGTACCATAGCACTTGTAGGGTCATAAAAGTTTCTCCCCACAAGCTTCATATCTAAAAGTTTCATTACCCTGAAATGAAGAGCAAAAATGGGTCTTCTAGAGAATAATTAAAAAAATTCAAGCTCTACTACTCTTAACAGTATTTTCCTTTTGAAGCCTGAAGTGTCAAAATTATTGGTGCCCTTTGCACAATATAGCTTTTATGCTGAGAACACCGTTGCCAAAAGAAAAAGAAAAATTATCATTTATCTTGAGGTATATACAACTGACAATAGCTTGTCCTACATACCAGATGACCAAAAACCAAGTTGATTTCCCAGGTTCAATTTACATTATTTTTCACCATTAACTCTCTCTGCAAGAGAGTCAATTCCTGTTTGTAAAGATCAGTCTGACATAAGAAGCTGTGTTCGTTCCTGGCAGTTCAACTTACTAGGTAGAAATTACGTTCTGTGTCTCATTTAAAAAGAGGTGGTGTAGGAATAAGTTTTATGAAAACTTGGGTCTTATAAAAAGTAAAAAAAAATTATGAACTGTCTGAATCCAAAAATCAAGGAATGTGGAAAAAAAATTCTTCCAGCATAAATTTTTGTACACTACCACTTTGAGTAGCCCCATCAGTAACACCATGAAATTATGCAATATAAACATCTGCTTGATGGAATCCAAATGATTCCAAAGGAACCCAACCAGCCACCTCAAACCTACCTTCATTATACCCAAATCTGGCTAATCACTTGACATAATTTTTCAATAAGTTAGCCTGAATACCATCTATTTATTTATTAAATGTTTCTAAACTCCTATTTATATGTGCGTAGTATAATACCATCCAAGCTTCTTGAAGAGCACTGTTACAAACATAAGACTGAGATTAAAGAAAATAAGCTGTTTTCTCACCGACGGAAAACAACATTGTAGAACGGAATGCACAAGTCAGAACAGGGCTCCAGGATCTTTGTCAACTGAATCTTAATGCTGATATCTGCGCCATCAGTTTTCCTTTGACTTTTTAGCTCAAGAACCTAACAAATAAATATATGCAAGTAAAAAAAAAATGACAAAACTACCAAGCCCTAATCTAATCCAACTGTGTTCTGGAAAACACTAAAATGTCTTACATATATTTTCTACTTTCCCCTCATTTTGCTGTCCACACTGGGCCAAATCATAGCATGACAACTAGGATTTAAGAAAAGATTTGGTAAGAGGACTGACTAGCAATAGATCCCTTCCCATTTGAAATCTTAAACCATTCTCTGTCACTGAGGTCAAAGGCTTCCAACCACTCCTCTTATGCGAGAAGGAACTTCTTGAAGAATTCAAATGAAAAAGTTTCTTAGTCTGACATTTGTTATGGAAAAGCCTGTCTTTCTTTAAAGAATAGGAAAGTACAACTCAAACATCAGGATGTCTATGATTTCCTACCCCTCAAAGCACCAGAACTCTCTTAGGTTTCATTCCAAAATATATTTCCTATTTAGTCTTACTTGTTGAAGCTTAATAGGCAGATAGAGAATGGATCCATCAAAAGCAGTAACGTTTCCAGTGACAGCTTGATGGTCCTTCAACATGCCAAACCTCATGCTTTTGCACTCCACATTAGGGCTAGAAAACAATAAAGAGAATTTTACTTCAATTTGCTCAAATGGCAGGCAGTCTTTACTACCCCTGTTTAATAGGTTTGGTAGAGAACCAGTCACTTGTAACTACTGCTCCATCTAGTGGTCACATTAAAATTCAAATACATCTGACTACAAAAGGAGTATCAACCCAAGAATACCTGCCCACAGGAAAAAAAAAGCAACCATAATTCCACCACCCAAAGACAACTGCCTTAACATTTCAGCGTATGTTCTTCCTGATTTTAGACAAGAGGTCAGAAAACTTTCTCAGTAAAGGGCCTGATAGCAAGTATTTTAGGCTTTATAGGTCATAGAGTCTCCACTCAACTTGGCCAACATGCACGAAAGCATCACGGACAATATGTAAACCAATGAACCTGGTTATGTTCCAGTAAAGTTTTATTACTGAACAGGCAGATTTGCCCTGCAGGCCAGCCATATTTTGCCAATCCCTGATCTAGAGTCTGCAAAAATACACACTTTAAAAATAACTTTTTAAAAAGAGGATTTTACTCCAACTATTTTTCACTTGTGGCAATTTCTACTTTTTATTGATTGTCACAAATCTTACAGCTTTAAAAAGCTCCAGTAGCTATTTGGTACAATGGCTGTCCCATTTCATATCAGTAACACACAGCCCTGTTGTACAACTGGAAAGTTTAAACAAATCTAAGGCTAAAAAGGATTAAGTATGTTCAAGTACATGATGAAAGATTAAAAAATCAAGTGGTAATCCAATATAGCTGTCCCCAAAACTAAACACTCATATGCTAGTATCACATTTCAAAATGCTTCTCCAAAAATTCATCTACACGAATGGCACTATGCCCGCAACACAGTATTTAAAATTATGTCTCTGGACTTCCTTCATATAATACAAGGAAGCCACAGGATAACCAGTCCACTATAATACATCTCAGTATCCTCTCAATGGTCTGGGATGCTCTTTATATTGTGGCTTCAAAGGTCCAGATCTACCATCTTGAAATTTACAGAATCCATGTCTTCTCCACTGTCCAGTCAATGCAGAGGCCTGTGAAGACTCACACGCCTTTCTGCTTCATTAACATTTGTCAATCCATTTCCAGAGAAAGGGTTCTTCCCTCTCATTAATGCTTATCTGTTTCCTTTACATTCCAGAGCAGGCTCATTTCCACTACCCTCCCTTCTGGGGGGAGGTTCAATTTCACCCTCTTTTTTAGCTCCTTCTCTTCACCTGCCACATGTGCTCAGCTTTAAAGCAATTACTCTCTTTATCGTTCCATTTCTCATTTCTCTTACATACTTTTTAAATATGTGGCCAGTTCACTGGCTATTTCCAATCGCCTGTGCTCTCCTTGGTTCTCTTAGTCTAGTTTTTTTCTCCATAATTCTAACAAATCTAGTGGAAAATCAACAAGGGTGTTCTTCAGAGTAAATTCAGTAACTTTTTTTCCTGTGGCCAAAGTCAACCACCTCTTCCTCATTCAAAGGAGGCCTTCCTTTGGTCTTTATAATCTGTTTTCAAGGTATTTCCCCCTAACTTCCTTTCTTTTCTCTTTCACTCCACTTACTCCTCTTATACATCTGTGCTTCAAAAATTCAGTCTTCCATCTTCCTATTTTCTCTCCACAGATACTCCAAATCACTCATTCATTTTCACACTTCCAGCTAATATCCTCCAGCTAATGACTCTCCTGAGATTTTAAGCATGCGTGGAGCCCAACGCAGGGCTGAACCCACAACCCTGAGATCAAGACCTAAGCTGAGATCAACAGTTGGATGCTTAACAGCTGAGCCACCCAAATGCTCCCTTCCTGAGATTTGAAAAGAGAACACAAACTAATATGAATTCTTAGTTTTTAAGAAGTATGAGAAACCCTGAAGTTATTGATATAAGATTAAGGTTATTCTCTCTGATTTTCTCATCCTCAAATTTCACCCTAGACTGTCACTGGAGAGCCATCATGGTATGAGACTTATGCAAGGAGGATCCAGGTTTTGTGGGGTGTGGGTCTTACACCAGTGTCTGTGGGGGGGTCTCTCTTTAAGAAGAAGAATACAAAATTACAGATACAAAATAAGTTAAAAGGTTATGGAAGGGGTCTATGCAAGTAAAAGGCCCTGACCCTAAGCTTCACCAACTTCACAGTAAATCCACCTTACAGGTGTATAAAATGGCACCTCTTAAAATTGGAAATGGTAATATAGCTAAACACAAATAATGTTAACCTTGAATTTATCACAAGGTTCTGAGTTTGTGCATTATTGTGGAGGGACGTTCATCAGGAATCACACAGAAAAATACCCAGTAATTCCAGGGAAACGATTTCATTACTGTTCTCTAAGAAGTGAATACAGAGAAAAAAGTTGTGAATACCTGAAAGTCACATGATATTGATAAACTGCTTCATTATGACACTGTATTTTGATAAGGTTCAATCCCAAAGACTGAGGTGTTCCTTTTGAGCCTTGCTTTACAAAAAGCTCTCTGGAAAATAAACAAAAGCACGCATATATAACAAAAACAAAAATGCAAACAATTCACGCCACAAAAAAATTAAAGAGAAAAAGAACACTGAGAGAAGTGATATTTTACACTTAGCTTACCCAAGTTACACAAAAGCAAGCTTTGAAGGCTAGAAGCTAAGTTCTTAGCAATCTCTAATTGGAGAAGTAAGATCACCCTCTTTGCCCTGGTAATATCAATGGAATAATTGAGGCCAGCTAACCAAGAACACAAAAATTAGTTCCACCAAGAAAGATGAACTGCTGCAATATCTTTCCTAGATAATTTCCTAATCTTCGATGTGACAAACAACTGACTATGTCTGAATTGAGAAGGAAATGAAAAATCATTTGAGTCTACTCTCTGGTACACACTATCTAAACCATCAACCCCATTTCACTTCATCAGGAATTGTCCCACCTCTGTCATTCTCCCCACTGGCAAAAACCCAAAAAACAAAATAAACAACCCTGCAGCACCTACCACCCACAAAGGCTTTTAGACACAACAGAAACAGTGTTTATAATATTATAAGGCCTCCTCCCACATCATTATCAAGCAGAGAAGGCGGTGCTCCAGACTTACTTTTCCTTGTGTTCTACAGTCCCAAGTAGAGGGTGATCCAGAGGGTGAGGTGAGGATGGGGGCAGAGGTGGTGGTGATGATAGCTGGGCAGGATCCCGAGAGGTTAGGCTGAGAGCACCAGGAGCCTTGTATACTCCTCTGCCTATACCACCAGTTGCTCTTCCCAAAGGTAATAAAGATGTATCCGAATTCCCTCTTCCAAGCATTCTGAAATGTTGAAAAGAAAAGCAAATCAGGACTTTCTCAACCATCTTCCTATCTAAATGATTCCTCCAAGTCTACATTCTTTTCCTGAAGGAGTCAGCAAAGGGAACCCAAACCTTGGGATTCTCTTCAGATCCAAACATGCCTACCAGACTCATTTGCTAAGTGCTATTCATACTGACTCTCAAGGCCAATTTCCAGGGCAGAATTGAGGTGGAAGAGTGAATCAGCCAGGTTAAAGAACCACCACAATCAGGTTAACTTAACAGGGCAAATGGAGTTGTAAACTGCCCAGCAGAGAACTACTTTTTACCCTTTTCCAATGACTGACGGGAGCAGTGGCTGCTGATTATTTTTGGAAAACATCCATTCTTTAATATAAAACCATGTATTGTTTATAAGATAATACGACCCTTTTCAGAGTTTCCATTTGGGCTTATAGAGATATTTCATCTGAATTTGAATTACCCTTGAAGGCAACTTTACCCACCTACTCCAACCAACGCAGGCCTCTGCTATCTTGCTATCCCCAGCTGCCAACACGGAAGGATCCGGAAATGTGGGATGTGGTTCTTCTTTGTCCTTGCGCACCGTACTGGTAAATAAGCCTCGACCTAAAATGCCTCTACCTGAATGGAAGGGCCAAAACCCAACTATAACTGTGAGTTGAAGGTGTTGTAAAGTAGTTATTTTTATGAAGATAAATTGTATGAATTTAAGAACAAAGAAATCATACATACATATTCCCACACTTTTTTTCAAGTTAGTTTTCCACATACCTAATGGAGGCACTTCCCGTTTCAGAGGGATCTGGGACACTGTCTCAAGGCCCAGTCCTCGGAACATAGAGACCAAACCTACAGATTCCTATGGAAAGTTAATGAGTAGAGTTATTAAAAAATATATTTCGACAGTTATTCTAAGATGTAGAATGCTTTTCATTTCTAAGATGAAATAACAGTGTTATTTCAATGACTGCAAGTGACACACATTCTGTAACACACATAGTGAAGTGTTTAAGACGACGTAAGAATGATGTTTCTAACAAGACACCCAGAAACACTGATGGTTTTCTTAAAGTCTTGGTAAGTAATAAAAATCATCTTTGAATTCTATACATGTTATAAGAATAAAGAATAAAAATACCTCATAAAAATTATTTAAGTAGTTTTTTTAGAGGGGGGAGGGGCAGATGGAGAGAGAGAGAGAGAATAAGAATCTCAAGCAGATTCCACACCCAGCACAGAGCCCAACACTGGACTCCATCTCACAACCCTGAGATCATGACCTGAGCTGAAATCAAGAGTTAGAGCTTAACCAACTGAGCCACCCAGGTGCCCCTTTAAGTAGTTTTCATAAACACTTTCAATAAACACTCTTAATACTTATAACAATGTCACCTTAGGTTTTTAAGCGTAAATACAGGTATAGTCCATGAGTTGATGTACAGAATAACAAAGTGCAATTTTTCTAGTTTGTTTCCTATACACCCAAGGTAAGAGGGAACACTGTACTAGTTAATAAATTTTCAGAAAAAAACTGACCATTTAAAAGTACCTGAGGTTGGGTTTTTTAAAATAACCTCCAACAAAACTTGCTACTGTTTTCTATGGCAGTCTTGAAAGTTTAATGTTATTACACCAATTAGGGCTGTCACATATAGACTCAAGCAAGTCATCAGAGAAAAAATACAACATAATGTCATCTTTTCTTCTGTCTACATAACATTACATTTGACACTGTCTACTCTACTTAAAATTGCCATAACTGCATTATCTGGTTCTTCTTATATTTGTTAACTCTTTATTCTTTGAGATTTCTTAATTATAGACAAATACCATTCTTAAAATTACTATATAATTAGAAGATTAAGAATGCACATACATGCAATTGTACACACATTAGAAGCAATAGCTGAGGATCTTTTTCTTTAAGATTTGGGCAAAGAGCCCTCTAAAAGGAACCTTCTTAATAATTATTACCTCAGAAGCAGAAGTGGCTGCTTATACCATAGAGCCAAACCCAATGCAAAAATCTAAACACTTAAAAGCCGTATCTTCAAACCTGCCATTTATGTATGTATGTTTATTTATATCTATAGAAGCTAGAGGGCTGAGGTCTATACCCAAGTCTACCTAGCATTCTTTATGAGGCACTTTTTCTAAACTCACAACTCTACGATTTGAAATGTACATCCAGAATGCAACTAAGAAAAACAAAAACAAAAACAAAGCCCAACCAATCAACCAACCAAAATAGCCCAAATCTTTTTTTTTTTTCATATAGGGCTTCACAGTTATTTGAAATCTGTTATTTCCTCTGATGATAAGCTGTATGCTGCTACTGTGCATCCAGACATGGTCTTACCCTTTGTGCTGGCCCACTCCGTGGGCTTGGTTCCCCTGGCTTTCCAAACACATGGCCTCTGCCTGCAGGTCCTGCCCTGCCCAGAGCTGAGTCCAAAGGTTTAGGAGCTTGTGGCCAAGAGCCTGGCATCCGTACACACTGAGACAGGTGCACAGAAGAGCCCCTGAAGGGTGGTCTGACAGGATCCATTGAAAGGCTGCAGAGGATACGGGTGTCGATCCTGTTCTGATCAATTACCTGCCGGCATTTTATAAAGATTAAAGATTCCTAATTGTTTTCCTTTTCCTTCAAGACAAGACTCACAAAGCATTAAAAACATAGTTTCCTTAGGTCAGACCAGTAATACAACCAACCTGCTATATCATATTCACTTCTAAAGCTCTATTTAGCCTGGAATATTCTTTTTTTTTTT